TCACTGCATCTTCTTCGCGCCAACAATCTTCTCCTGTCCAATGGCCGAGAGCACGGCGACGACGATGGAGTCGCCGTCCTCCTGCATCTTCAGGATGTCCTCGACCACCTTCCGAGGACGACAAAAACAAATACTCCGAGCTGGTCACGAGGCGAGAGGGGAGTGGATCGCGTGGGGGGTAGGAACGGGCTGCCCTTCGCGGGGCGTAAGAGGAGGCTGGATCGCGTCGCGGGGTGGGCTCAGTGCGAGTGGGGGGCAAGAACGGTTGGCGGTGCGTACCAGGGGGTAGGGGGAGGGGGAGGGCTTCTTAGACGGAGGCTGCTTAGAAGGCGCGGGCCCTACATCTACAGACAAGGCCCGCGCCTTCTAAGAAGCAGGGGTGCTTCCAAGAGGCCTTCCCCCCTCCCCCTGTCCCCCTTCTGCGCGTGGCCGAAACGGGCCGTCGGATTTGGTAGCGTGGGTGGGGGCTCATGAAGCCACCCAGAATGAGCCGGAACTGTCGGGAGGGGTACGGGGAGGGGGGCCTGCGGAGTGGCCGCCAGCGGACGTCCGAATGTTTCAGTGTAGATCCAGTTCGGTGATCGAACCTTCTTGTCTTCATCGGTTGGCTCACCCGTCGTCACGAAGGTGGGCAGATTCAGGTCGTCCTTGGTCTCGCCAGACTCCAGGAGCAGGCTGACTTCGCCAGTTGACTCGTCAGCAGAAAGAAGCTGGTACTCCGTGCGCTTCGTGAAAGGGATCTCCATGTTGTGCGACGTGGGGCACAAGTCCTCGTACTTCTTTCCCGTGAAGATGTCCAGCGCCACGATATGGGCCTTCGCGTGCCCGTGCTTGCCCGTCTTCGACGTGGAAATCTCGGCCACCTTGCAGGCTTTGCCCTTGATCATCACCATCGAGCCCTTGCGAAGCTCTCCACACTGCTGCGGGTATGTGTGCGAGGATCCCGACTCGGTCGTCTCGAACGTTGGCTCGTCGTCCGACATGGCTCGCGTGCGCTCAAGGTTCAGGTTTCCGTTTAGGCCGCGGCACGCTCGTCAACCGGACAGCTGGAGCCAAAACAATTATGTACCAATGTGTGTGTGTGCGCACATGAATGTGTGTGCGCGCGCATGTGTGTTTGCGCGCGTGCTGCGTCTTGCTCTGCTCAGAGAGCTCTTTGAGATCGCCAAGCGAAAGATTACGTTTACCGTGGGAAGCATGATATAATTGGCCTCCCCCTGTCCATTGATTTGCCGAATGGGTCTTCAAACAGACGTCACTTGGTTTCCTGATGAAGTCCTTGCGTGCGTGTGTGAGTGTGTGCGTGTCGCAATCGGCTCTTCTGCGCAGCCCAAGTGAGACCTGATTGGCACTGCAATGATTGGGCATCCCCACCGAATCACACGGGCATTATGGTGGGATGCGATGCGTGTTCAAATGAATTCCTATGGGCATACCAGATTAGCCTTAAATGCCATATACTCGCATTCCGACTTTTGCGGAACACGATCACACCCGCCCACCCACCCACTCACATACACCCGATCTTCACTATCAATCACTCGTGAATCTGAGAGAGCACGCCAGCAGGGCCCGAGCAAAGGGGGTGCCCCCTAAGCTACCCCCCCCCCCCTCTTGGCCACCCTCGTTCCGAAGGCCTCCCCCTCCCCCCTGTTCTTGCCTCGGAGAACTTACCCCCCTCCCACCAGCTAGGAGGAGGAGGAGGAGGAGGAGGAGGAGGAGGAGGAGGGGGAGGAGGAGAGGGAGGAGGACCTACCCGGCCGGAAGACGCCCCCCCCCCCCTCGTCCCCCCGTCCCCTGTGCGGCCCCAGCCCCCGCAAGCTGCCCCCCTCCCTTGGACCTCCCCGGCCAGAAGCCACACTCCCCTTCCCCCTCCCCCCCCTGCTTGTTTCGCCCCACGGAAGCTCCCTCCCGCCCCGCCCCCCGCCCCCCCTCCCCGTGGCCTTCTCAGCCCGAAGCCCTCCCCCGCGGCCTGTGCAAGCTGCCCCCCTCTTCCCTGTGCCTCCGCATCCACCCCCCTCACACTCCCCCCGCCCCTTTCCCATTCCAGAAGCTCCACCCCCCATGCCCCCATTTGGCTCCCCTGCCGAAAGCCCCTCCCCTCCCCCCTCCCCACCGCAGCCCCTGCAAGCTACCTCACCCTTCCCTTGTACCTTTTTCCATCGGAAGCTCCCCCTCCTCCCCACCCTTTTATTCGCCCCACAGAAGCACCCTCCCTTTGGAAGACCCAAGCACGAAGCCATACCATCCGACCCTACCCTTCACACGGCAGTGCCTCTGAGGGGAGGGGCGAAAACACTACGATCCTAGTTCTCTAATCACTTGGCAAAGCTGGGAGGCGGAAAGCTTACTCTGCTACTCTACTCGCCACACGGCAACGCTTGGTGAGCGAACACAGCGCAATCCCATTAGTACCCCACGTGGAAACACTGGGGGGCGGCAAACACATTATTCAACTTGATCCGTCACGTGGCACCGCAGGGGATGGGGGGAACACACATAGCTATCTGCTCTACCAAGCACACTGCTACGCAAGAGCCGGTGACTGTGTCCATAACTTATTGCTGCATCCGTTATTGTTGCTTGAGCCGGGCTACCCGCCAGAAGTAAGCATATTCGAGAGTCCTAGTCCGAAGGGACACAAAGGAATCGTTAGGAAATCGGTAGGTCTTATTAGACTCTATTCGCCAAGACCAACGCATGGGAGCGCAGACAAATTGCATCCTGCCATACACGTCACATGGCAACGCCTGGGGGGTCGGGAACATTGTATTACACTCTGCTGACTGCGTGGCGACGCAAGGAGGTGGAAAAAGTGGAGTTCCTTGGGACCTTGCGGGGCTACCCTGGGTGCTGCTGGGACTCCCTCGCGAGAAATCCGCCAGCGAGTTTCCCGATGCGACCTTTCTTGACATGAATGGGAAGCTCGTGAGACTGTAGAGCTCTGAAAGGACGTGCAACTGCATCAGGAGGTAACATAAGTTAGGCCAGCTCAAGAGCCCTTTCTTCGGCAAGCCTAATCGGGGAAAAACTGCATAAACATAGACTTTCGGAGGCCCGCGCGGATTTCTCAGATCGGCGCTGGGCCCCCTCCCTGACGCGCGGAGCGCGCCAGGGGTGGCGCCGAAGGCGCCGGAAGCGCCGCCAGATGGGCGGGGGGGGCCCAGCGCAGATCCCAGAAATCCGCGCGGGCCCTCGAAAGCTTATGTTTATGCAGTTGTTGTTTCTTCCTCGGTCTGTCCTAGATCCTCCTCGATATCCTTCTCCCCGCCTCCTTCTCCTCCTCCTCCTCCTCCTCCTCCTCCTCCTCCTCCTCCTCCTCCTCCTCCTCCTCCCTCCTCCCTCCTCCTCCCTCCCTCCCTCCCTCCCTCCCTCCTCCTCCTCCTCCTCCTCCTCCTCCTCCTCCTCCTCCTCCTCCTCCTCCTCCTCCTCCTCCTCCTCCTCCTCCTCTCGACGGCGAGCCAGGGGGGGAAGTGAGAAGGGGCGGGCCCTCTCAGAAGGCTCGGAAGCCCCCCGGCCTTCTGAGAAGTTTCCTTAGCCTTCCCCGAAGACACGGATAACATCTGAGAAGGCGCGAGAGCTTCTGAGAAATCCCGCCGCATTACGAGAAAGCCTTTCCCTTCTCGCTCCCCCCCCTCCCTCGCCGCCGATCCTTCTTCTCATCTGTTCGCCTCGGGTGGGATCGACATCACGAAGTTCTCCACGTCCGCGTTACACCTGTCGGCGGGAGGGAGGGCGCCGCCGGGCGCGGGGCCTGGAGCTGGAGGAAGAGCTGGAGGATAAGATAAGACAGGCGTCGAAAGGCGGACAGGCTTCAGCCAACACAATGGGTTCCAGCGGGTGGCGCTCAGGGACTTACTGGCACGTACCCATCAGCCACGTTCGCCACCAGCTGGACTGGAGAACACCTAAAGCGACCTCTGGGGCAGGATCTGATGTAAGGTCTGGAGACAGACTTTTTGGAAATCGAGAGGAGCGCGAGGAGACATCGACGGAGGACGAGCAGGCGGAAGATCTAGAAAAGATCTGGTGGAATGTGTGGAAAAAAGTTGAGACTACAATCTGGAGGAAGAACTGTATCAGGAAGACCTCGGATCATATCCGAGCGACATCAGGGGAACTTGAGGTACCCACGAACCCAGTAAGGAACTCGAGTCAAAGTTTCTCTGACACGCGTGCGTTATCATCCCTGTGCCCGACTGCCACCACTACCTCCGCCTCATCTCCGCGCCTTTTGTCCCTCTGTGCCGCCAGCCCGCCTTCCTCGAGAGGCCGTTAACCGTTTGCTCGCCCGAGGGGCCCGTCACCTTTTAGCTTTCCCCCGGGGCCTGTCACCTGTTTTCGCTCGAGCCTTGGTGGCAGGTCCAACCCCGCGCGCAGACAGATGAGAAGCACAGTCAGACGAGCCAACAGGCGGCAGGCCCACCCGCCTTCATCCTCGTGGGAGGCAAGGGAAAGCTTGAGGCGACATGGCTTTGGTGACGAACGAACAACACACACCCATATCCATAGGGAGGTCGTTGGGAGGAGGACTGGCTATGGGTATGGGTGCGGGTTGTCGGACCCTGGGGAACGCTCCCGTTCGAGCGGGGACCCCCATCCGACAACACGCGCCCATAGCCCTCTCCGATCCCCCTATGGGTATGGGTGTGTGCTGCTGGTTCGTCATTTGGGGCCAGTGACCCCCGCTGCCGCCGCCGCCGCCATCCGGCGGCGCCTCATGTTCAGGGCGAGCATCGCCTCGCGCTCGGACAGGAACGTCACGAAGCCGCTCGGAGCGTTCACGGCTCGCGCCTGGCGCGCCCCTGCCGGCACCCTCCCCCACAGGCTCTGGCGGGCGGACGAGGGGCAGCGGTGAGCGCACAGGGAGGAGACGGGAGCAGAGGGTAGAAGCGAGAAGGGTCAGGTCGGGCACGCCCCCCTGGGGGCGGGTTTTGGACGGAAAATGAAAAATACTCTCAAACATATTGAAACATCTTCTTTTTAAATATGTATATATATACATGTATATATATATATATATATATTCCTCTTCTCATATTTTTATAAGCCTGGGCGTGGGGAAAACCCATCCCCCCCCCCAAAAAAAAAACGGACTCCCGGGATCTGGGGCTTTGGGACCCTCCAGACGGGCCTCGAAGCGGCCACTGGGCCTCACATGGCGTTTTGCCAGGCCTTCCCAGCACACCTAGGGCGATCAGGGGGGTCATCGGAGACGTCCCAGAGACCCCCAAGACAGCACAAGAGCGCTCCAAGAGTGACCGACGTGACCTCAAGATGGCCCAAGAGGCCTCCAGGACGGCCCCAAAGAGGCCTCCAAGAGCACTCCCAAGAAGGCCCCCCGAGGCAAAAATCATAGATTTTCTGTATGGTTTTTGGTGAATGTTAGGGTTCACCTCTTTTCGGCTTCCCGACGCTCCAAGACGGCGGCCTTCTGGGCGTCCGAAGCCGCCTGGGAGGCTCCCAAATCGCCCCACAACCATCCGAAAGAGCTTCCAGGCAGTCCAAGAGAGCCCCAAAACGGCACAACGTGGGTCCAAGATGGCCCTCAGAGAGCCCCATGGCGGCCCAAGATGGCCCAAAGACACCCTCCGAAGAATTCCAAATCGCGATTCGGTCGTTCAGGGAGACCGCGGTTGGAGGCAGGGTGGCCCGAGGAAGCCCCCGGAGGCCCCCAGAATACGCCCAGGAGGTCTCCAGAAGGCCTTAAGAAAGTCTGAAACAACTTTTGTGAGGCCCCTAGAGGCTCTCCAAGGAGGAGCCTCCGCAAAAAAGAGCTGAGGAGGATGGGGAGAATGCGCAGGGCATGGCGAAAATAAAGAAAAATAAGCATGGAGGAAGGATAACGAATAACATTATTATAGCGGCGATGCCAGAAAAGGCAACCAGGAGTTATCACTAAATTGTCGGCTTGACCTTCCTGTTATTCCGCCTGCATGCCAAACTTCAAGGACCAAGGTGCATATAAATTTATATACATAACTCAATAGTCCCCCGCGTGTTTTTTGACTATTCTTGAGCATTCCTCCCGTAGAGGGACCCGCCCGACCTAAGGGAAGGAGCAGGAGGAGGGAGACGAAGAGGCGCAAGAAACGCAGCAGCAGCAGCAGCAGCAGCAGGAGCAGGCGGCGGCAGGCGAGCCCGCGGGCCGCGCGGACGCGCGCCTTCTCCGACAGCACGTTCTCCACGTCGCCGAAGAGGTTCGCCTGCTGCACCATGGGGAGCTCGCCGTCCTCCAGGATGCGCTTCCGCTCGGCTCGGGCCTCCGTCTGGAGCTCCAGCACCTCTCGGGCCGGGCGAAGGGGGGGGACAGCAAAGGGGGGGGCTTGAGAATCAGCTCACGCAGCTGGTTTTCCTCGCGCCTCCCGGCGCCGGGACGCGCCTACGTGCAGAGGAATGGGCCCGGGGCGGCGGGGCCGAAACCAGCTGCATGCAGCAGATTTCGCACCCCCCCCCCCTTTCCCTATCCCTCCCCTTTCGTTCGGCCCGCACCTCCCGCTCGAGGTGCTGCACCTCCGTCTCCAGGGCCGCGCGCGAGGCCTCGAGCTTCTCGTGCTTCCTGGTCATCGGGCGCCCTCCGGCTCCCTGGGGAGGGAGGCCTCCAGCTTCCGCCCCCCTCGCCTCCACCTTCTCGTCCACGATGGCGACGTCGATCTTCGTCTTCGCGAAGCGGGCCTTCTCGAGCGCGAGCTTGCGGTCCTTCAGACCTTCCACGAGAGCCTTCAGGTGCCCCGTGTACCTCCGAAGGAGGAGAGACTGCACATGAAGATACAACTTTGGAGGCCCGAGCGGATCTCTGGGGTCGGCGCTGGACTCCCCTCCCTGGCGCGCAGAAAGCGCGCCAGGAGCGGCGCCAGAGGCGCCGCCAGGGTGCCCCAGTGGGGGGCCTGGAAATGGGCACCAGCACCAACTCAGGGAGTTGCCTCCCCTGGGGAAGATGATCCTGGATGTTGGTACTGGTGGTAACCGTCTTCAGAGGGCAGAAAGAACCACTCTCATAAGAAGCACCCCGACAAGCGAAGCCGATTCGTAAACGCATCTCAGGGATGGATCGAACAGGGCCGGGCTTTGTAGTCAACGCCCGGGGCTGCCCAGCAAAAACGCCAGCTATGGGCAACCGCGCGTGAACCCTACCCCGGCGTCGAGCGTACCCGCAGGGGCAGGGTTCGCGACTGGTCGCAGAAGTTCTCGTGGGGGGTCGGGAGGGATGCTACTCCCCTGCGTTGGGGGAACCAAAAGGTACCGATACCGCCACTCCCCGGATCTCTCCGGGGGCACGTTCTGACCAGGATTCCGAGGCGACTCAAGCGGTGGCGACGTGGGCCTCCCAGGAGGCCCCCAAAACAAGGGCAAACGGGAGACGGGGAGGGGTAGGGGTACCTTTTCCTCCTCTGCTCTGATGCTTCTTCTTCGTCCTCGATGCCTGACGACGCAGGCGTGCTCGACCGCGCCAGGGAAGAGCATCTGGAAGTACTCCTTCAGGGCGTGGTCGGAGCAGTGCGACTCTGGCACACCCTCCACCAGCACGGTGGTGGAGCGGGGGGGTTCCAGATCGAGCAGCCACCTGGGCTCCTCATCCTCCTCCTCATCATCATCATCATCATTCTCCTCCTCCTCCTCCTCCACCTCCTCCTCCGCCTCCTCCTCCGCCTCCTCCTCCTTCTCCTCATCCTCATCCTCCTACTCCTCCTCCTCCTCCGACCCCACTTGGAGCCAGAGTTATGTCGGGCATGTCCCTCTACAGGCGGATCTTGGACAAAAAAAAACTGCAAAATGCTTCGACCAAATCCCAAAACCATCGTCCCCTGACTATTTCTTGACTATTCATGAATTTTCCTCCTGTAGAGGAACATGCCCGACTGAAAGCCAGAGCTGGGGTGTGGATAAATTCCGAGCCTCCGAGGCCACGGTCTTCCGCCATGCCCTGCCTCCCATGGCGCCCAGTGGGGGGCAGCAACAGGTGCATGGATCGAGTGTCGATCGTCGATGCGCGGGCCGCCCGCGTGGCACACTGCGTGGAGAAGAGGGCGCTTACGCGCGACCCCACGCGAGCTCGCGCGCGAACGTCGGCGCAGTCGACCCCGTCGCCTTCCGTCGCCCACCTGAAGCGGACCAGCTGGAAGGAGCGCATCTCCGAGAAGAGCAGGTGCTCCGCCATGGCCACAACGTAGAACACGGCGTACCCGTGGATCCAGTAGATCCAAGAACCTCGGGGGCCAAGAAACCGCCTCTGTGGGTCCCTCGCCGAGCCTCGGGACCGTCAAGAGATGATCCAGGCTGGAAAACCGCTCCCTGGGAAGGGGTCCAAAAAACATACAAACTTTCGCCGGTCCGCGCGGATTTCTGCACTCCCCCCTCCTCCGGGCGGCTTGCCTTAAGTTAGGCGTGTCCCCCTACAGGGGGATTCTGGGCGAGGCGAGAAATAAAAGATACTCAAAAATACCCCCCGAATGGGCAAACATAGTCAAAAAATCGTCCCAGACTGTTATTTGACTATTTCTGAATATTCCACCTGGAGAGGGACAGGCCCGACTTAAGGCTTGCCAGACTCCCGCGGCACCGTTCTGCACGTTGTTGATGCCGACGCTGCCCAGCAGGTCGCCGCTGCCCGCGCCGCCCCAGACGGCGTGCAGCGGCGCCAGCACGAGCACGAGAGGCGCGGCCAGCCAGGCGAGCAGGCGGCAGGCGAACGAGGTGAAGTCCTCGGGGGAAGCAACAGGCCGAGTAGGAGATCGCCTACAGAATGGATTTCAGTATAGGGGCACCAAGAATGACATAAACATACAAAACTCGGAGGTCCGCGCGGATTTCTCGGATCCGCGCTGGACCCCTTGGCGGCGCCTCCGGCGCCGCCCTTGGCGCGCTCCGCGCGCCAGGGAGGGGGGTCATGCGCCGATCCGAGAAGTCCGCGCGGACCTCCGAGTTTTTTATGTTTATGTCATTCTTCGTTCCCCCACAGTAGGAGCTCGACCGCAAGAAACCTTCCACAAGAAGCCCACCCCTGAGACCCCAGGACGTCTATTGATGTTTGTTGTGCGAACGTCGCGATTTCCATCGCAAAATTACCCCAGTGCGACCCTACCTAGAAGTTGGAGCCCCTAGGAAAGCAGCATTAGTTGCTATGCTATGCTGTGCTATGCGATGCCATGCTATGCTGCGCTATGCTATGCTATGCTATGCTAGGCTAGGCTAGGCTAGGCTATGCTATGTTATGTTGCGCTATGCTATGCTATGATATGCTATGTTATGCTATGCGAAGCTATGCTATGTCATGCTGCGCTGTGCTATGCTAAGCTATGCTATGCTATGCTGTGCTGTGCTAAGCTGCGCTATGCCATGCTATGCTATGCTATGTTATGACATGATATGCTGTGCTATGCTATGCTATGATATGATATGCTTGGCTATGTTATGCTATGCTATGCTAATGCAGCGCTGCGTTATGCTAAGCTAAGCTAAGATAAGCTAAGCTAAGCTAACCCTCTAGGCAGAGCCTAGGTAGGGGAATTACACCCATGCTAAGCTATGCTATGCTGTGCTGTGCTGTGCTGCGCTATGCTATGCTATGCTATGCTATGCTATGCTGCGCTATGTTATGCTATGCTGGGCTATGCTATGGTATGCTGTGCTGCGCTATGCTATGCTACGCTATGCTATGCTATGCTGTGCTCTGCTATGCTAAAGCTCAGCGAAGCTAATATGAAGGTAAGCTAAGCTAAGATAAACCTGAGCTAAGATGAAGCTAAGCTTAGCTAAGATGAAATAAGCTAAGCTAAGATCAGATAAGCAACGCTAAGCTAAGGGGACGTAACTGGGGGAACCGCGGGGCGGATGCCGGAGGAACCGCCCGGGGCGGGTTACACTGCCCGGCCCCTTTAAGCAAAGAGAGTGAGAACCCTTCTAGGCAGAGCCTAGGTAGGGAACCATCGAAACCCAAGAAACCCAGGGCACCCTGGAGGCAAGCAGGGTGTTTCTTGGCATTGGTCTCCACTGTAACCCAAAATTTGAAATTCCGTCGCACCTGCGGAAAAAATACACACATCCTGTCCGCAGGTGCACGGACATCATGCGTTTTCTTCCCAGTAGATTCGACGAACAAACCAATTCTTGGGTAATTCAATGTTGTAGTCGATCCCCTATTCGAACAGGTAGAGGGACAAAAAACGGCATACTTAGGGAGAAACTGTCGGCGCTCCGCGCGGGTTCCTTGGAGCGACGCTGGGCCCCTCTGGCTGCGCCTCCGGCGCCGGCCACGGCGCACTCCGCGCGTTCGCGAGGTGGCTCCAGCGCAGATCCAAGAAATCCGCGCGGAGCTCCGAAAGTTCATGGTTATGTCGTTGTCCGTCATTCGAACAGGGCGACGAGATCCATGCAATTCCATCGCCCCTGCCCAGGCCCATCCTGGGTCCACCTCAGCGGCGCATGCGCCACCCTGGTCGCCCAAATGCAGGGAGGGGGGCGGACAACTCGGATCAGACGAGAATGGGGGGGCAACTGCAGAGGGGGTCCAGCGAATCATCTTGGGCTGTCTTGAAGCCGTCTCCAACATACTGGAAGAGTAAGGCAACTCTCGCGCGCGGACAGTGTCCCCACGCCCCTCGGTTCCAGTGCTCGCGCGGGGCGCCGCACGATCCTGTGCTTCCGCCGTCGGCCGCGGCTGTCTCAACATTGAAAGCGGAGATCCCCGGGGGGGGGGGAGGGGCAAGACTTTGTTTAGAGTGTTGCATTCCCTAATCCAGGGGGGAGACTGAGCAGAGCCTGGGCGTGCCTTCCTGGGGAGCTCCGTGGACCTCCGCGGCCCCATCAGGAACTTGACGTCGGCCGGACTCTGTCCAGCTTTCGACCACGCCTGTTCACCCGTTCGTCCAGGTTTCGTCCAGGTGTCCCCTAGATGTCGTCCAAGCCGTGTCCAAAAGGCGACCAGACCTGGCGAAGTCCAGGCGACCTCCCCAAAACCGAAAGGGATGTTCGGACACTCTGGGGCTCCCATGAAGGACCAAGCAACAGATAGAGGGGGGAGAATGCAGATAGAGGAAGAAACTGCATGAACATAAACTCTCGGAGGACCGCGCGGATCTCTTGGATCAGCGCTGAACCCCCCGCTCCAAGAGATCCGCTGCAATTACTTCTTTGTCGAGTCAAGGGGTCGATCTGGAGGTGGCACAAAGTGGTGTGGCGCCAATCGTGAAAACATGGAGATGTTCTCTACGATAGGCAGCATCGCCAGATTCAGCATTGGCACCACACCGCTTTGTGCAACACCCCTTCCGTGAGATCCGACGTAGCGAAAAAAATGCTGCTTAATTAAAAATTACGCCTGGAGCCCTAGGCACCACTTTTTGAGCCCGATCGATCTGCGAGGGTTCCGGGACCGGAAAAAAAAAAAAAGAAAACGCCCAGTTCAGAAAAAATGGGACGCCAGGATCTCAAGGTTTCCTACCTCCAGAGCCTAGCGATCCTCTGCATCCCCCTCTTCGGGCCCTCTTGGGAGCGTAGGTATATCGAGTCTGCGTGAACCCTGTTTCGCCCCGCCACCGGGCGCTTTCCTCGACACGACGGTCGCTCCTGGCGGCGCGCACAAGGGGGTCCGGGGGAGAGGGGAGGGCGTCTTGGAAGAAGGCGGCTTCTCAGAAGGCGCCGGCCCTGCATCTACAGATGAGGCCTGGGCCTTCTACGAAGCAGGGGTGCTTCTAAGAAGCCTCCCCCCCTCCCCTGAGATCCGACGTAGCGGAAAAAAAACAACATCGTAAAACATAACGCCCAGAGCCCTGGACCCCACCTGTCTGTGTCATGTTTCGAGCCAGATCGATCTGCGTGGGTCCCGGGGCCCGAACTTGTGCGACAACGCCCGGCTCGAAAACCTTGAGGCGCCAGGATCTCAGGGTTCCCCCCCCCTGGCCCCCCTCTGCGCGTGGCCGGCGCTCCTGGCGCTCCCCCGGCGCCAAGGGAGAGCGGCCGCCGTGCCGAGGGGAGGGCTTGCCGGCGGAGCCCGAGCCTCCCTCCCCGCTCCCGCACGCCCCGTCGGTGGCAGCTCCTGGGAGCCTCCCATGCCCTTGTAGCCTCACGTCGGGCCTGTCTCTCTACAGGAGGAAAATTCAAAAGTAGTCAAAAAATAGTCTGGGGACGATGTTTTGACTATTTTTGCGCATTGGGATGGTATTTTTGACTATTTTTCATTTTTCGCCCAAAATCCCCCTGTATGGGGGACACGCCCGACTTAATTTTACCTGCCTCCTGCGAAGCGACGCTCATGGACGCAAAACATCGGCGCTGCATTGACGCTATACTATCGACGCTGAATCGACGCTAGTCGACGCTGACCGATGCTGAATTGGCGCTATCCCATCGACTGCAGGACGCTATTTGACGCCAGTCGACGCTAAAGCAGACGGAATTGCGAGGGCATACCAGGCTCCCATGATCTGCTGCCGAATGCTTTCGGGGGAGGCAGAGGGGGGAGAGCTCAGGAGATGGACATCACACGTACGGCCGGACCCAAAGGGGGAGGAGTGGGAGGAGAGGGAGGACCCTGAGATCCTGGCGCCCCAATTCTGCTCGAGCTCGACGTTTTCTCCTCCTGCTCGGGCCCCTGGACCCTCGCAGGTCGATGTGGCTCGAAAAAACAAACTTAAACAGGTGATGTCCAGGGCTCCTGGCGTAATTTTCTACGATGTTGCACTTTTTTTTTGCTACGCCGGGTCTTAGGGCGGGGGGGGGGAGTGGGGCGTTGTTCCATGGAGGGCGATAAATCAGGAGGGGAAAAACCTGCACCCCAAGGCTGGACCTAAACGTTGTTTTTCGTTTTGCTTTCGTTTCGTGCTTCGTTTTGCTCTGCCTGTTTTTCTGTACCTCCCTGCCAAAACGAAAAACGAAACACAGCCGAAGTCCAGTAAAACAGCGTTTAGGTCCAGCACTCCGCTGCACCCTTCGTGCCTCTGTGGGCTCCAGGGGGCTCCTGTCGGGCACCTCTAGGGCACCAAAGGTGTGCCTTTCTTAAGATACCCCCCACTTGCGGCCAGACCTGAGACAAAAGGACATCCTCCCAGGACATGAGACCCTCCGCCGGCCAAAACGCACAGAACATTCGAGGGCGCCCTCCCCCAGGATACACAAGAACATCCAGCAAGCACGAAGAGCATTAGGGTACCCTCCCCGAACCGACCTCGATCTTTACCTGGGTCCGACCGCATGCACCAAAAAACCCTGCCGAGCACATGGGCGATCGGAGCCACCGGACACATTGAACACTCCGCCCCGGGCAATCCGCCCCTTTCAGTCGCCGCAGAGTCCAGCAGCAGGATGCAGTCCACGCCGACGCCGCACGCCCTGGCACAGAGCAGCAGCAAAACAGCATCAACACAGATGTTCGGAGGTCCGCGCAGATTTCCCCCTGGCGGCGCCGCCGGTGCCGCCCATGGCGCGCTTGGCGCGACAGGGGAGGTGGGGTTCCGCGCCGACCCACGACATCCGCACGGAGTCTGAAAGTGAGTGCAAGTGAGCGACGACAAGAAACGGGTCTTATGCGAGATGCAGGCCTCGGAAGAAACTAGCGAACACTCATGCCGCATCCATGTGTCAATGCCCCCCAATGATCGATGTTGGCGGTGGGTTGAACGAGCTGCGCTTCGACCGCAGTCTTCCCCGCGCGTGCCAGCATCGAGCTTGGTACGCCGCGACGTATGGAGGCCGCCCGCGAGGCACGTCACACTGGAAGCGAGGGCGCCCACGCGCGACCCTGCGCGGAAAGCTTGCTCGCGAATGCCGGCGCAGTCGACCCCGCTTTCTTCCCGTCGCTCGAGGGTTTTGACGTCTTCGACCTCAGGCTCTCGTGGGGAGCCCGGTAGCTGGCCTGGCGGGGCGCCAGCTACGCGCAGGGCCCGCACTGGTCCCGGCTGGGCCCAGCCTTTGCCATGGCATGAGGGGCTAGGTCGGGCATGTGCCCCTACAGGCGGATTTGGACCAAGAGTAAGAAATCATCAAAAAAAATGCATAAAATGATCGAACAATCATCCACAGACTGTTTTATATCATTTTTGAATACTCCGCCTGTAGAGGAACACGCCCGATTTCACGTTAAGGAGGAAACGGGTCCTGACCGCCCCAGGGGGCTTCCCGAGTCCGACTCTTCCTCCTGAGTCCTTTTGTTTGCGGGGCGTCCAAGAGCCGAGTAGGGGATCGACTCCAGAATCGAGTTAGCCCAAAAAATTGGAATCTTCGTGGGATCTGGAACAAAGCGGAACGTTCGTAGATCTCCCCGAACATTCTACGTGTTTCCTTGTAGATTCGGCGAACAATGCAACTTTGGGGTCAATCAATTCCGTGGTCGACCCCCCAATCGAAAGAGGGGGGGGGGTCACACATCACGGCCCGAAGCATGTGCGCGGCTCAGCGGCGGCCGAAGACCGCATTGAAACGAGTAAGTAAGAGAAGGGGCCATGAGATCTGAGGAGATATCATGGCCACGGCCATGATATCCACCCCCCATAGTTGAGGCGAAGCCAGGACGAAGACAAAATCGGGTGAGGATGAGTCGAGAATCTCCGATATCTCGCGGCTCAGGAGGATGTCTCCGCGGCCTCCTCAGAGCGTTCCGGAACGCTCGGAGAGAGTTCCGGAACGCTCTGGAACGGATTGATCCTCGTCCTCGCCCCGTCCAACCCCGCCTTGCTGGGAGGACGGGGGGACCTAAAAGACCGATCATTGGCCCCTGGCTTAAGTCGGGCTTGTCTCCTTGCAGGCGCTTTTTGCGCGAAAAATCAAAAAACAAAGAATGGTCAACAAATCGTCCCCTGACTATTTGATAACTATTATTGAATATTCCTCCTGTAGAGGGACAGGCCCGACTTAACCCTTGGCCAAAAGCTGGACCAGCCAGGATCAGCGCAGGCGTCTTCTTCGGCGCGCCCAGATGGCCAGCAGCCAGCTGAAGAAAGCCTCCGAGGGCTTGAAGGGGATGGCGAACTCGAGGCCTCCCTCGGCCTTCGTCCGGGTATTGTTGGCGTAAACCTGGGGGTACAGCTTGCGCATGCAGGAGAGGAAGACGAGCGCCGCGACGAGCACAGCGACGTTGACCGCGAGCACGGAGAGGAAGGTATTAAGGTCGCCGGTGTTGTCCTTTGAGACGCCGGTGGCCTGCTCCCACGCGTCGTCCTGTCGCACCGCCAGGAGGCCCCCAAACCCACCGCGCCTAGAGTCCTGCGAGCCCTGTCCCCCGAGGGGAGCGGCGGACGCGTGCGCCGTCCTCGGCGGCAGGGGTTGGCAGACTCCCTTGTACACCAGGGCCCCGAATGGGGCGCTCAACCCAGACCCGCTTGCGTCATGGAAAAAAAAATACGAGCCCCGGGACCGTCGAGACACGACACGACTCAGGATGACAAGACGGTCCCTGGGGGGGCCGGGTCGCGAAAAAAAAGACGTCGGGGGGTCTGGGATTAGGTCGGGCCTGTCCCCCTACAGGGGGATTTTGGGCGAAACATTGAAAATAGTCAAAAATTATTCCTGTAATACTCAAAGACAGCCAGAAGATCGTCCGCTGACGATTTTCCTACTATTTTTGAATACTCCTCCTGTAGAGGGACACGCCCGACTGAAGTCTGGGAAGGTGTGGCTGGCCCAAGGTGTTCCCAGCTCTGCGGCCCAGCTTGGGGCCCCGGGGGGCCCGCTGGGCCTCGCGAGGAGCGCTTCGGAGAGCGGCCTGCTCCTTGGCTGGCCTTCTGCGAAGTTTTCCGAGTCCTCGCCGAAGGCGCAGAAGACTTCTCAGAAGGCCAGAGGGCCTCTGAGGAGCCCCGCCGCCATCTGGGAGGGCCTTCGCCTTCTCACTTGCCCCCCCCCCCCTCGCTCGCCGCCGAGAAACAACGCCGATGAGCCATAAACAACACAAAAACAAAACAAACAAACCAATTGACATAACAAAAACAAAGCAAAAAAAAAAAAAAAAAAAATCTGAGCCTGGCAGCACCCGGCTGCAGGCCTGTGGGCAGGACTCCGAGACGCTGCGGCGTGGGCGCACAATCGGCCGCAAGCGAGGGGGGAAAGCGACAAGCCAGGTGCGCTCGCGTCATGTCTGACGTCCTACCCCTCCCATCCCAGCCCACCATGGCGCAGATCGCCTCCCTATTCGCAGTCGGATGTCGCAGCATGGCATAGCATTACATGGCACAGCATGGTGTTGAAGATCAACGCGTAGCATGACATAGCATGGCGTGGTGACGCCCCGAAGTGGGGGGGCTTCTGCGGCCCAAAAAAAACAACAAATCGACACCAAGTGTGTTATCACTTCCGACAGTTTTTTGGGGGGGACATTTTCTGGATTTGAGGGCCTATTTGGAAGGACCGAAAACCATGGCCAGCGCTGCAGCGGGAGCGGAGCGCGACTCGGAACGAGCGGAGGCGCAGAAATGAGGCCAGCGCTGCAGCGGGAGCACGATTCTCAACGAGCGGAAGCCCCAAAATGAGGCCAGCGCTTCAGCGGGAGCAAGCGCTTCAGCGGGAGCAACATTTTTGGGGAAACAAGGAATAGTAATAATAAAAAATAAATAAATAAATAAATAAATAAATAAATAAATAAACAAATAAATAAACAAAACAACAACAACAACAACAACAACAACAACAACAACAACAACAACAACAACAACAACAACAACAACAACAACAACAACAACAACAACAACAACAACATTTTAAGGCTGTACGCTCTTACTTGCCCGCGAGTCATTCAACACGTATACCCTACACCCTCGATACCCGCCCTCTTCGTCTTCGATCACACCCCTTTCGGGGGGATTATTTCTCTTTGCTGGGGCCGGCGGGCTTAGACGTACGGGCAAACCGGAACGGGCGGACAATCCTTCGGGGGCGTACATCTCTCTGCCCGCCATTGGAATTGGCGCGGGCCCTGCAAGAGGAGGAGGGGAAGAACGAGGGAGAGTGGGAGGAAGGGGAGGGGGAAGGACGAAGGAAGAGGGAAGATACCACGTTGTGAAGGCGTCCTTGGCGCGTGCGTGGTTCCTGAGCGCCGAAACGCAATTCCAGAATAATTTGTGAGGACGTCGCACGCGAGAGCGCAGTCCTGAGTACATTGTGAGGAAATCTCGGGCGGAAGCGGGGGCCCTGACTAAGTTGCGAGGAAGTCTCAAGCGGGAGCGCCGTTCCTGAGCAAATTGCACGGAAGTCTCAGGCGGGAGCGGGGGTCCTCACTAAATTGCGAGGAAGTCTCAGGCGGGAGCGCCGTTCCTGAGTCAATTGCGCGGAAATGTCAGGCAGGAGCGGGGGTCCTGAGTAAAATTCGAAGAAGTCTCAGGCGGGAGCGCCGTTCCCACGTAAATTGCACGGAAGTCTCAGGCGGGAGCGGGGGTCTTGATTACATTGCGAGGAAGTCTCAGACGGGAGCGCCTTTCCTGAGTAAATTGCGCGGAAGTCTCAGGCGGGAGCGGGGGTCCTGAGCAAAAATCGAGGAAGTCTCAGGCGGGAGCCGTTGTTGTTGTAGCCCGGGGGGCAGGGGCACAGTTTGAGCAGGAAGACTTTCCTTGAGAAAAAACAAGGTGCGAGCCCCGGGGGTGGCACTTCAATCGAAAAAAATCAATGTGCACCGGTGGGGGGGGATCAACAATAATTATTCTTCAAGAATGAGAGTTCAACAACAACAACAACAACAACAACAACAACAACAACAACAACAACAACAACAACAAACACAACAACAACAAAAAACAACAACAACAACAACCACAACCACAACCGCAACAACAACAACAGCAACAACAACAACAACAACCACAACCACAACCACAACAACAAA